GATGTGAATTTGAAAGTATTTCCGCATCCATGCAGCAACCTGGGTGTCCGTCCAGTCTGGGATATCCGGACAGTTTCCTTCACTTCAGCATTGCAGACCTCGAAGGTGATGCTTACTATTCAACTTGGGTGCTGGTTAGCATGGACAGGGGTCTATTGAGGCCAGAATCAAAATGTGTCACAATGTTTGCTCATACTAACATGCCTACAACCTATTGCGGTCTTCATGAAGGTTATTGAAACTTTTGGCCATGGCCAGTGTGCCACATAATGATGATATTCACATGGTGGATGCCCACATCTACCATTCACAAATCAAGATGTGTCTGACTGGCACTCTCAAAACCTAAAACTTTTTGAGAGAAACAGAACAAAAGGTAGTTCAGGTCAAACCAGGTCAATCTCACGGATATGTTGTCTAATTTGTTTGACAGATTCACCAACCAATACACCAAACAATTTTGATCAATGGTTGATGATCAAAGTATTAAAAGTGATGCTGAGTGAGCATGTTGGTGATGGTTATGGATAAGGAAGCTGACACTGGAGCATTCTGATGGTACCGATGATGTTTAGTGTGGGGCCGGTCACAAATTTCTTAATCACATCAAAGGCAATGGTGAACTTGACCATGGGGATGGTCATTGAAACAATGTGGCACCCCAAAAAAGACAGTGCAAAACAGACTTAGTTGATTTACATTAGGATGAACATGGCTGTGAACATGCATTTAAATATGAGACACATGACGGTGATCACGGCTGTGATGATGTGTGATGATGAGGATTTTGAGGATGATGATGATGATGATGATGATGATGGATAAGATGATGATGATGATAAGGATGATGTTGATGATGATGATGATGAGGTTGATGATGATGATGATGACGACGATGAGGATGAGGATGATGAAGATGTTGGTGGTGATGATGATGGTGATGAGGATAATGGTGATGATGGTGGTGGTGATTGTGATGACTCTGGGCAACGGACTGAAGAAGGCTACCAAGTGCCGGAAACCAGGAACTGGTATGAAGGAGGCTCAGGGCTACCAAGTGCCGGAATCCAGGCACTGGTATGTAGTGACCAGCTTGTTGAAACCCGGTGCCGGAAGCCAGGCACGGGTTGGAGTCCCTGAACCCAGCGCCGGAAGCCAGGCGCTGGGTCTACCTTGGTCCCTTAGTAGACACGGTCGGACACCCAGACCGTTACAAAGCCATGCAGTTTAACAATACAGTTACTAACAAAGTGCCAGGATTTATCTAACAACATAATAAACATATTACTCAAATTTCATCTATGGATCATCTACAACACACCTGTGAGTCATCTATGAGTCATCTATGAGTCATCCATGAATCCACTATGAGTCATCCATCATTGTGAATTGATAAAAATCAGACTAGAGTCTATGAATCACTTATGATGGTAAACTGCATGGCTTTGCTTGTTCTGCTGTCACCTGACAAGTGTGCAAACTAAAAGGCTGACATGGAAGAAAAAATAAACATGTCTAGTTGCAATAATGATATATTTTGCTACGACTGTGTTTGCCAAACTTGCCAGATTAAAAAAAAATAGAAATAGAACCATTTTAGCATGTTGAAAATTAACATGCATTGTTCTGAAAATTAGGGTTAAACTTACAGTGCCGGAGTGACATCATGTTGAACTATGATGAAAACAAGTAAGGGCCACACGCCAGAAGCTACCTTAGTGATACCTGGGCCGGTGTCCAGACCCAGATTGTCTTACCTGAGCGACTCCAGGGCCAGTGGCCAGACCCTGGAGTGCAGTCAAAGCTACCTTAATTCAAAGCTACCTTAGAAACTCCAGGGCCGGTGGCCAAACCCTGGAGTGCAGTTGAAGCAAAACCTGATAAGGATGGAAATAGTAATGATTTGTAAGAACCCCTGAAAAATGAGACATGCGAGAAACCAATGAAGTTCGGATTTCAATGCAGATAATTTCATGATAATATCAGTTATCTTTGTGGATCACTTGATATGAAATAACATGTTAACTAACAATGATTGCTCTGACTCTATGACTGACGGCTGGACAAAGCGAGGACCAGTGAAGTGTGAGCCTGTGAGGCATGCATTCCGCCCTGCCCCCCCTTAACAATTTCATGAAGATTATTTACACAGACTAATTAGACATGAACCACATTACTTCATAAATTTAGTGGTATTAGACATGAAAGATTGCCATCAATTGACTGGTATTAGAAATGGACTGGTCATTGATGGTAAATGCTATCATTATTCGAGTTATCAACTGAACAACTCAAGCTTAAAGAGAAACTCAAGGTTCCGGCCCTTTTGCAAGAAGCAAAACCTGGCAGTGACAAGTTTGAACCTGGCACGGAGGGCAGTAGCAAAGTGCGTGTGTGTGTGTGTGTCTTTTGTAAGGTTATGGTTATAGTTATGGATGATTATGGTAACAGTAGGGGGTGAGTGGTCTCATACAATATTCTAATGGGTAGTGACCATGCTCCTAATATGTCACATGTAACCAAGAATGCTGAGGGCCGGTATCCAGACCCCCAACCATGATTTCCCCATGTCCACACCTGGAACCATGATGTGTCTATGAAATTATTATGCTGAAGCCACTTACTTTAGTACATGAAATAATTAAGACCCACTTTTGATAAACATTAAATGCAACATCACACTTTTATGACTTTTCATTATCTTTATTTGTCCTCTTTATGACTCAAACATGAAAAACCCATTTGCAAATGAATGACCCAAATGCAATGGCACTGGCTTAATTCCATTGTGATTTGCAACTGTAGGATCGTTCCCGCAATGTAAATGGGATTGCAAGTGTTGCTGGTGGATGAGTTGCCGATGGAATTCCATTCTGCTTTGCAACTGTAGGATCGTTCCCGCAATGTAAATGGGATTGCGGTTTGCAGCTCAGTCTTTGCAGATCGCATTGTAGTGGCTGCGTCAAGGTTGCTTCCTGCTTTGGCTGCATGCGTAATACTATTGTCTTTTGCAGCAGGACTTCGTGAATCGTATTGGAGTGGCTGCATGAAGGCTGCGACAGTGATTTGTCAGCAGATTTTCTCCATTTTGGCGCTAATGATTTTCCTTCTAAAAATCATTTTAAAAGTGCTTCAAAATCGTCTTTTTTTCGCTCTGCCGTCGAGATCCGGTTTTGGAGCTACAATTTCCGACGCCGTTGTGCGTAGTTCTATTGTGTTTTGCAAATCAGTCTCTGCAGATCGTATTGTAATGGCTGCGTCAAGGTTGCTTCGTGCTGTGGCTGCATTCGTAATACTATTGTCTTTTGCAGCTGGATCTCGTAAATCGTATTGGAGTGGCTGCATGAAGGCTGCGACAGTGATTTGTCAGCAGATTTTCTCCATTTTGGCGCTAGTGACTTTCCTTCTAAAAATCCTTTTAAAAAGTGCTTCAAAATCGTATTTTTTTTCGCTCTGGCGTCGAGGATCCGGTTTTGGAGCTACAATGTCCGACGCTGTTGCGCGTAGTTCTATTGTGTTTTGCAGCTCAGTCTCTGCAGATCGCATTGTAATGGCTGCGTCAAGGTTGCTTCGTGCTGTGGCTGCATGCGTAATACTATTGTCTTTTGCAGCTGGATCTCGTAAATCGTACCGGAGTGGCTGCATGAAGGCTGCGACAGTGATTTGTCAGCAGATTTTCTCCATTTTGGCACTAGTGATTTTCCTTCTAAAAATCCTTTTAAAAAGTGCTTCAAAATCGTCTTTTTTTTGCTCTGGCGTCGAGATCCGGTTTTGGAGCTACAATTTCCGACGCCGTTGCGCGTAGTTCTATTGCGCTTTGCAACTCAGTCTCTGCAGATCGCATTGTAATGGCTGCGTCAAGGTTGCTTCGTGCTGTGGCTGCATTCGTAATACTATTGTCTTTTGCAGCTGGATCTCGGAAATCGTCTTGGAGTGGCTGCATGAAAGCTGCGACCTGGATTTGTTAGCAGATTTTCTCGATTTTGGCACTAGTGTTTTTTTTGTCGCACGTAGGTTTAGAGCAGTGTGAAGTGTGGGGCGTGAAGAGTGCAGTGTGAAGTGTGCAGTGTGTAGGAAGCAGTGGGAAGTGAGAAGTGAGAAGTGTGGAGTGTGAAGTGTGAAGTGTGGAGTGTGAAGTTTGAAGTTTGGAGTGTGAAGTGTGGACTGTGAAGTGTGAAGTGTGAGGTTTGGAGTGTGAAGGAAGCAGTGAGAAGTGTGAAGTGTGGACTGTGAAGTGTGAAGTGTGAGGTTTGGAGTGTGAAGGAAGCAGTGAGAAGTGTGAAGTGTGGAGTGTGAAGTGTGAAGTGTGAGGTTTGGAGTGTGAAGGAAGCAGTGAGAAGTGTGAAGTGTGAAGTGTGAGGTTTGGAGTGTGAAGGAAGCAGTGAGAAGTGAGAAGTGTGGAGTGTGAAGTGTGAAGTGTGGAGTGTGAAGTTTGGAGTGCGAAGAGTGCAGTGTGCAGTGTGAGGTGTGGAGTGTCGAGGGAAGGACACGGTCGGGACAGGTTGTCTTTGAACTATAGGTCATTTATGTTTGGGAAACTTCCGCCGCCGGCTTGCCCGGGTCTATGTTATATACATATATACATGTGGAGCAAGAAACTTGTTCTTTTCCAGCCTGTGGACATAGGTTTGCACATGTACTGTTGCTATGGAACCAGCACATGACATATGATGGGTGAAAAGAGTCATTCTGCGGCATGAATCCTCATGATTGGAGGCGTGTCACATGTCACGTGTCTCTCCAATGTGGTTGAAATTTGACCGAACTCTCCACATGTTTGCACAATAAGATGACTGGTCGGTGGTTTGGAAGTGTTTGGAACATTTTCTATTTTTCCATACATTGGGAAGAATCATCCCAATTGACTTTCATATTTTTCAGAGGGGTAGGGCTCAACCACCAACCAGATGATCTGAATCCTGGGAAATACCAGGTCCATCCGGCATACAGGGCGCTTCAACCCATGGTGAACCACCACCAGCAGTAGCTCCGATGCCTAGGAAGAAGGAAACTCCGGTGCCGTATTTGCCCATGGACCAGCACGTGTCCGATGTTCAGCTGTTGCAGGCGCAGAGTGGTTGCTGCTATTGGGTTGTTGAAGGTTCAGATGTTTGACATTTTTATGGAATTTATGTTTAAAGACCTGGAAGTGCAAGATAAATCAAGATAATGTAGTATTTGTATGATTTTGTGTGTATTGTTATGTTACTTTGGATCCAGCAGGTTGTGAGCTTTCTCTTTTCCGGGCGCATAGGGGCGTTTCGGCTTCCCCAGGAGAGATTGGACCGGGGCGTGCTGCCGGATGTCATCATGCCGACCTCCAACATGCCGGTCTGTCTCCCGGGGTCCCTTTGGCTCCAACAGCGATCGATCCATGAACTGAAGATTCCATCCCCAAACATAGGTGACTGGTAGGCCCAAAAAAAAACACAGTTGGAATTTTCAGTTTTGTCAGCTATGTCTTATACCACAGGTAAGTTTTCATCACATATGATATCATACGTGTATGACTGTATGACATCCCTATTTATTGGTTCTTGTTTTCTCCCCACCTATAGCGAATCTGATATGTTCCTGGGATTCGGTGACCCAAAAGTTGAACAGTGCCGTCCAAATTACCCCAAAAGCCGTTGGCTTTGCCGGTCATTGCAAGGTGAGGTTAACTTCTGTTTATGGGGGGATATAATGATACAACTAAGATTAACTAAGTAACTATAGCATACTATAGCTGGCTTCGTGGTTTGGAACATGTTTTCCATATATTGGGAATAATAACCCCAACTGACTTTCATATTTTTCAGAGGGGTAGGCATACCACCAAGCAGATAGTATTCAAGGGGTTTATGAACCAACATTCACATCACTGCGGGGCCTCACCTTGTATCCACATTCCAGATATATCTCGGTAAATTATAACGACCTCACTGCGACCTCACTGGAATCATGGTTAGTAAGGGAAATCAATGGCCTTAATTCAGGTTAGTGAAATATTATAATTTACCCACAGTGCACCACGTTTTCCACCATTCCCAAGTGACTTCCGCAGGCAATGCATGGTGCAGAAGGGCAATGGCTTTGCAGCTCGGCGGGGAAAGCGGGCTGATGTTTGGTCAAGGCGGTTTGCATAAATGCCCAATGTACAATGTGGGGTTGTTTTTCCTTCAATTGTCAGACTCGGACTAGTGGTGAGTTTTCAGTTTCTTAGTTTGAGGGGATCATCATGTTGTGGTGGAAACTGTGCTTTTTAAAGCCGCTGTGAAGACAAATGGGTCTTGTGTCATATCAGCAGTGGCTCACTTTTCCATATGCAATGTTTCTGATTTGTGTTTTTACCTCTATGTTTGTTAAATGATATTAAATATCAATGTTCATTCTTCAGCCAGGATCGTTGTTTCTTACCAGAAGACCTGGACTGCATCAAACCCTCCGCCAAGCTCCCAAGGAGATTATGGCAGTGGAAGAGGGTGACTGCGCGATCCATTGCTGACTTGTCTGCCTTCCCGGTCCTGAGAATCACTGGGCGACTTGTAAATAGTTGATCCTGCTGGGGGTCGATGGCCCACATGGCTACCACATGGCAGATTTATGGAGTCACCGGTCCTGGAGTCTTGGAGGATCGAAACGTGTCAGAGGTTTGTGTGTTATGTCAGAATGCAATGGGCATTGTGAGGCATAGGCCCAGGGTGCCAAGCACACAGCAATCGCATCCGAAAGGCCAAAAATGGCCACTGCTTTCCTGGCCGCTAAGCGGCTGACACTCAGAGCTGGGATGAAAATGGCACTTTTTCCCCCGGCACCTGGGTTTGTTTGAAAAGAGGGCAGCCCCAAAATCTATCATCATTCTCCGTCTCTCTATTATCTATGGCAATTTTTGAGCATCCTCCATGCTTGAGACCATCAAGGGACCAACCTGTTCCCTTGCAATGGCCGACTGGTTCCATGTCCTTCTCTGAAGCCTAGTGCCTCCCAAGGGCTTGTCCAAGGCTTGAAACAGGGTTCCGCATTTTGATGCATGTGTTCCTTTCATTATCTTGCAAGCATATGAGTAACCGACAAAATTAGCCGAAGACCAAAGTAGTGCAGAGTGGACATGGGATGTTCAAATTTGTGCGAAAACATTCGCAACCGATAGGGGACCACCCACTTTGGCCATGTCCATTGCGGCTAGTAATTGAGTAATTTTGTCCGCCACTCATATGGGCATGTTGTGTGACAGAACCATGTTGCTCCTTTGCAGCCATGGGTAGCCTAATATGTACATGTTTATTCACATACAGCTTAACTCAGTTTAATGATATGATCAGATTAACATATGCGCAATATGTCAACTGGTTGGTGGTTTGGAACATTTGGATTATTTTCCATATATTGGGAATGTCATCATCCCAACTGACGAACTAATATTTTTCGGAGGGGTAGGCTCAACCACCAAGCAGCCATTCTTTCTCGAGTTTGTTGTTCAAAGTCACGGTTCATTTCGGCATCACCTCCAGCTATTTGCCCCACCTCTTGCAGCTGAGCTCTTTCGGCCGTGCGATGAGTGCAACCACTGGGCACATCACACCATTCACCAGACAAATCACATTATGTCACACACACATGTCTGATTAGAAATTATGGATTTAAGATATGATTTAAATATTTCTATCATCATGGCGGGTGATATTGATTCAATATTTCTCAGTTCTGGCCTAACGCCTGATCCGTGCTTCTATTGACTCATCATGGCGTTGGGATCTGGCCTGTGCCTATTCCGCAGTCGTGGTTGGGGAGCCGGAGTTAGATCCTCTTGGGGATGGATTTTCCAATTTTTCGGGTTTCACTGTGCTATAATCAACAAGAAAAGTAGTATACCGATAATAGGATGGGGATTATTTCATGGATTTGGATCAAAACTTAGTATACCATCTTTTGGTGAATGAATCTCCATTTGCCAGCTGTTTTGGGTGCTCAATAGGAGGTTCTCTGGTTTTGTAAACCATTTTCAACCACCATCCAAGTGGCAAGCGCCAGCTGTAGTGCGGCGCTTGGAGTTCCCATAGATTAAGATTATTCCCCAATATAATATATACATTCCATTTCATATAGATATATATATATATATACACATATTGAAATCCATGGTCTTGCGGATCTGTAATTCTTTGAAATATCATGGGTCGCCATTGCGTACTATTCTCTTGGGGAAGTTGGCTGGGTTGGCTGTTTCGGCTGTGCTTTCTTCTTCTCATAGTGTACCTTTTGATGGTTCTCAGAAAGACGGGCAGCCAGGCCCTTAGAGCAAATTGTTCCAGCATTATGTTCAATTGAAATGCGAATTTTTATGGGATTTGTATCCCATCGAAAAACTACACGTTTCAGCATTTAGGCTCAGTTTAGTTCGGTTCCCGCGCCACTGCTTGGAGACAAACACGCAGCGCTTGGCCAATCGTTGACGATTGGCCCACTGCTGGGCACCATTTGACCATGGCTGACATTGAAGATCTAAAGTGGCCTGGCGCTTCAGGGCCGGGGCGGGGGGCCTATTTGGGGTAGAAATTGAGATCCACAAAGCCACTCCAGGTGAGTCAAAGGTAGCAGGCGATTCTCTAAAAAAAGAGACCTCCCCAAACTTGGATTTTCAGTTAACATCAAGTTCAATTGGGAGTTTCTTGAACTGCGGGATCTTCAAAACCATGAATTTCAATGCTAACATATGCTGAAATGAGCTAACAGCCTAAAGATTAGAAAACACAACACATTTCTGGACACCTCCAATCAGATATAGTGGTCTTTGTTCACCACCCGATGTTGACGCCGAAAACATCCAACACGTTACGGCGCCAACGACGCGCTGAGGTTGGAATGTCGTGACATCCCCTCAGCCCCTTGGCGAGATGCTCGGGCAAGGGGACATGGCCTCCATTTGTTTCATGGGAAAATCCAGGGAAAACCCATGGGAAAACCATGGGAAAATCCACCATAAATATATAATATGGGAAAACTATGGGAAATACCCTCTGGTAAATGTTTGCATAGCTATTGAAAATCATCATTTTTAATGGGTAAATCCACTATTTCTATGGCCTTTTTCAATAGCAAACTGTTAGTTTAACAGAGGGTAAACTGCCCATGGCCCAATCATGTTTGAGATTTCTGATGTCATGGGTCGATGAAGAGTGGTTGAGGAATTAAGGGGGCCACTCGGCTACTCATACTCCCAGAGTTAGCAAATTAAACCTTGTGCCCCTATGGCCCCTAATATTGATAAGCTGGAGGTTCCGGCTCTTGGGTTGACTAGTACTGGAGCTTGTTTTCGCCAAGGCTGTTGCACTATTCATGAAACCACGATCTATAATACAGATAATTACAGAATGATTCAGACATAGATATCAACATATGTTATAAACATCATACATCAATAATTCACAGATTGACATATATGTCATAGATATAAACATCATATATTAACAATATATCAATGGGAAATTCAGGATCCTAAAATGGAGGTACGTTAGTACCATATACAGCCATATTTTGGGTGTATATCCCTTTACATAGCCCTTATACATAGGCCTGAAAAAAATGGTAGGTACCTCATATTTAGGTACCTAAAGTGGCCATTGAATATAGCAGCAGAATGACTTCCTGGTGGTTTGGAACATTTGGATTATTTGTCCATATCTTGGGAATGTCATCATCCCAACTGACTTTCACTCCATCATTTTTCAGAGGGGTAGGGCTCAACCACCAACCAGGAATGTTATAATCGTTATAATCATTTAGGTACCATTTACGTGATTCAACAAAATCTATGTACCATTTAGGTAACATTCAGGTAAACCATTATACATATAATTTATATTAACCATTAATATTAACCATTATTAACGAGGTATATTAACCAACCAGTTAACCAACCAGTTATTAACCAACCAATTCCCCATTGATCTTTGGCACCTCGCCGAGGCCAGCGACCGTGGCTCGTCCTCGGACTCGGATGACTCAGGGAGTTCCTCCGGCTCGTCCTCGTCGTCCGGAAGCAGTGCCATGGCTTGGAGCATCAGTTGGTCATGAAAAGCCTGCCATAATATATATATATATGTATATAATATATATATATATCTACCTATATACCTATATATAATTATATAATTATATATATATGTATATTTATATATATATACAATATTATGTATAGTTTTTTGTTTTTCTTTTTTTTTTGTAAGTTGGTTATATATAGTAGTACTATTGAAATATAGCTATCTCGCCATGGATTACAGCCGCAGTTTTTCTAAACATGGATTTTACAATTCAACCGACCCATTGATATGCCATAGCTGGTCTCATCAAACATGGAAAATCCAGAAAATCCAGAAACTGTCATGATTTTCCCAGCTAGAAACCTCCATTTCAGAAGGGCATTTCCCAGCTAGCCAGGTTTGATTACGGGGCAGAGGGGGTTTTGGAGTATGATTTGCCACGATTTTTGGGTGTGTTTCTCATATCTCATCATGATGTAGCGGTTTTCTTTCGCTTCAGCTTTTGATGGACAAAGCTAGGCACCGCATGGTGTGATAAACCATGAATACCACAGATGCACACTGTCAAACATAGTATGATATCTGTATCTTTGCACAAACAAATGACCACATTGATTGACTTGCCATTTGAGTGATTTGATAACACTTGAAGATAATTGGGTGTTATTTTTGGTTTTGCTAGACTGTCCCTTTAAAACGACACCAGGATTTCTGATTTGTTTTTACAAATGGTAAGGGTAAAGGGGAATTACTGGGACCGCACAGCAGGATCTTCCAATGATTGGATCATGGTCACCTTTGGCATTTTGTTTGCCCTGGGGAGCATGGCCATCACTTGCAGAAAAACACATCAATTCTGCGAGTTTTCTCATACCCTCTGTTAAACAAACAGTTTGCTATTGAAAATGACCATAGAAATAGTGGATTTACCCATTAAAAATGATGATTTTCAATAGCTATGTAAACATTTACCAGAGGGTATTTCCCATAGTTTTCCCATATTATATATTTATGGTGGATTTTCCCATGGTTTTCCCATGATGTTATGTTATGTTATGTTATGTTTTGTATGTTTACCAGAGGGTAATGTTCACCGCAGCCATCTTCCCAGCTGTCAGGGCGGCAGGGCAACAAACGCCGCATGAGATCCCGAGAGAGGCAGCGCAAGCGGGCGCCACCGCGCAAGACGTGTCGCCACAGGACGGCTTTTTTAAACGTGTTTTCAACGTCCGAGTGGCATTTCCAGATGGTATTTCCCATGGTTTTCCCCATTTATGGTGGATTTTCCCATGGTTTGAATCGTCAAAGCTTTTAATATCCAAATTTAAAACTGGTTGGTGGTTTTAATCATGGCTTTTATTGTTCCATATGTTGGGAATGTCATCATCCCAACGGACTTTCATATTTTTCAGAGGGGTAGGTATACCACCAACCAGAAAATTATCAAGTTTGTGAACCATCAAGTATAAAACCACAAACACGATCTCCATTTGTAATCATCGAGTTGAGCATATCTCTGCATATTGCTGCTTTTGAATTGGCTTTAAAAACAAGTGAGCTTTATGTGGATCAACCATTGGGGCAATCATTTAACCAATCAAACGTTGTTGAACATCATTGAATCAATCGCGGAGGAACTTCCAGGTCGCCATGTTCTTAGTTTTCTCAATGTCTAGCAATTTCAAAAGGCCCCACCGAATTATTGAATCAATGTCTAGTTTTCTCAATGTTTCAATGTCTAGTTTTTTTTCAATCAATATCCGGGGAAGCATTCCAAGAATTATTTTTGAGAACATCTGAATTCTGGCCTGCAATCCATCATGAATCCAGGAGAATGGTCCGAACATTGCCTTGAATACGGTTTTACAAGTTTCGGAGTAGCCAGGGGCATCATCTTCATGTTTTTTCTAACCACATAAACCATCAAACACCATCTGAACATTTGGGACTTGGGTTTGATTCACATATCCACGTTGGAAGGCCATGAAAATCTATTCTGCATGAACATGTGCCACCCCTCCAGGAGCGGTTCCTCTTCCTTGGAACGTCCGCCAGGCTCGAAAGCAACGACCGGAATGCCAGGGAGTGGGCCGTGCTGTTTGTTAAGTCCCCATTGTGATCCATCGTGGGTGGGTTACAGGGAACATCGGGGAAGATGTCTGTTTCAAAAGTAGTGAGTCTATGATGTCTGTAAGTCGTGTGGTCTTTACATGTGTTTGGTTTTTACATGTGTTTGGTGAGTCCGCTTTTGGTCCAACATGTCCAACCCAAACTCTTGTTGACCATCGTCCCATTTTCCATCAATATTTCCACCCAAAAAAGGACGGTCCCCGGACCCGCCAAGGCAACTGGCGCGGCCGCGCCCGTTCCGAAGACTTCCGCCGTTCCAAGAGCCGCGACACGCCGTCGCCCCGGCGCTGTTCGCCCCGGCGCTGCTCGCCCCGGCGCGGCTCCCCGCGGCGCCGGACGCCGGAGCGCCACAAGCGCGATCGTTGCGCGGCAAAGGGCGGCCAGGGTGACAGGGATGTGGGGTATAGGATCCTATATATACCTTATCCACCCTGATAAACCATGATAAACCTAGATTATCGTTAATGTTAGAGCATGTTAGAGCCTTAGAATATCATCAAATCCATAGGTGCCGTAGGTCCTACATACCAATATAAGAACTTGGGGGTTCATCTTCCCAGTGTCCGATGACCATTGTCCCGAGGTTACGATCGCCGCATGCCCGAAGACCGCCACAGATTCGACGACCGCCGCGGCTTCAGCCGCGACCGCGACCTGGGCTACGGCCGCCCGCGCTCGCCGCTGCGGCGGCGCCCCCGCAGCGACTCACCACGACGCTTTCGACAGCGGCAGCGGGATGTGAGGGATCCACCACCCAGCGATGCTTGGCAGATTTGAAGGGAAATTCATAGAGATTCTAAGGTGCTCCTTGAAGCTTGCATTTTTTTTGGAAGTTTCTATATTTCTATGTGCCTTGTTTGTGTGGGATTTCTTGTGGTGAAGTTTGTGCCCTCAAACAAGTCCGTTCCCTATTTCTATCACCAACAATGATTGAGGTACCATTAAGACTGGATTGCACAAAGCAAGCGGATTGGTCGAGCAATGCTTCTAAAGGGAGACCCCAACTGTCCTTGATTCATGAGGTTTCCAGGTCCCAGGGTTGAAGTTGAGCGTCCAAGCCAACAAAAACGAATGAACTATCATATGACTCATAGATACTCATAGTATATAATAGCATTGCCAAGGCCGCCTTACGTTGTTGAAGATGTATTTTTCCCCGGGGAGATGGGAGATGTGTCACATTTTGGATGGAAAATGGATGGAAATGCCGAGGATAAGCCCCGACGTTTCGGCATGAAAGTAATGGAGGAGGATCGTCATGTAGCCGCCCGAAACCCTCCTCTGATCATCTCATGTTTCTTGGTGATGCTGGTGCACTGTTGGGATTTCACCTGACAAAAGGGGCCAAAATCTTCGGAAAATTGGTATAAATTGGTAATAAGTGAACCATTACCAAATTCTGCTGAAAAAACTGGAGGATGGGCCCTACCAACACTGGACACCTCAGGTTTGAGAATATCTCACACTTTTTCCCTGAGGCATTTTCAGTTGGTTCATGCTGGTTGTAGTGAGGCTCGCGTCGAACCGATGTGCCCTGGGGATTCTTGCGGCAGTACCTCAATGGCTTTGAAGGTTGGAGGGGGCCCGAGGTTACCGGAGGGTGCCATAGGCCATAGGCCCCATGGATTTGGGGAAGCCTTGGATTGTGAACCGTCGTTATATGTTACCCTCTGGTAATTTAACATAGCAATGGAAAATCACAATTTTTAATGGGAAAATCCACTATAAATGGTCATTTTCAATAGCTATGTTAGTTTACCAGAGGGTGTATATATATATATATTGTAGAATTATATTGATTTATATTGCATACATCTGTCTATGGGGTCTATGTTCTTTACTTATATGTCAATGGTTGTTAATGAATGAAGTAATGAATGTGGGGTTATATAAGGCATACATGGGAAACAAGTTCGTGGCTGCTCAGTGCTTATGCTGGGCAGATCCTGAGAAAACAAAACATTGATGGTGCGTGATCCCAGTATATGAAGGTTTAAAGTCATGGTGAGAGACAATGAGGAAAAGGCAAGGGCGGGTTCTTTCATGAAAATCATGTTCATTCATTTTTCAGTTTTAAGCCCCAATGGCATTCCCAATATTGACATGTCTTTCTTTTTCATAGGCAGCTAAACCACCATTTATAGTTGATCTTCATATTTTCCGCACTGCCCATGTTTGTTCGTTGCTGTTTGCTGCCGCCAGATGGTTTCATGTACATCGCCTCCGGTCCTCGCAAGAACCCGGTGGTTCGCGCGGTATGCGTGCAGCCCTACAATCCTCAGACGGGCAAAGGAGTGATGTGCATTAGTTGGTGGTCGAAGAACTACAAGAATCTCAGCTGGAGCTGGATATAACATGGGTGATATGGTTGGCATGGATTGACTGAATTTTTACATGATAGGCCAGAGTAGATGCTTGGAAGAAGTGTTAATGACTGTAAAGTTTAAATTTTAGTTAGTCCAATCATGTGGGATCATGTTCAATCCCTTTTTTGTTACTTATACATCTCCATGTGTTAGGCTGGTTGGTGGTTTGGAATATTTTATATGTTTCCATATGTTGGGAATAATCATCCCAACTGACTAATATTTCCCATAGGGGCTGAAACCACCAACCAGTAGGTGTTTCGCACTTGTCCAATAGCTGGTTTTGCCCATGGCTCAGGAAGTGGATCCAAGCATGGCAGAAACCGGACAGCGTGCTGCACCGTGTCCCTGCAGAAACCAGGGTTTACTCAGGGGCTTTGCGGATATTTTTGGACCATCAATTGGGGGTGTTTAAAGTTAGGATAGGATAAAACGAACTGGAGTTGCCACCTGTGCTTATGGGTTAAGTTTGGTACTTGAAACATTTTGAAACTCATTTTCTGGCTGGTAGTTTCGAACAACATGTTGCTGCCCCAGCCTTAAAAGATACCTACATCATATCTTCTGCAGGGGGGCGCCACATGGCAGAGCACCTGTCAGTTGTTGATGGAATATTATCGGAGCATTGCCATGATGATTATGATGCTTATGATCTTGGCCTTGAATTCAATGGGTAGGCTCAAACACCATCAAACACCAACAAAATAAGAATCAACTGATATTAGATGTATATAAAATCTATCTGACTATCAATCTATAGATCAATCAGTCTATCCATCAACACTTCACATATGCAATCTGTAAAGCCATCCCGTTTCAGTGGTCAGGTTATCCCGTGCACCTCTTCAACTACACCGTGAACTCTGAGAACTTAGCCCTGGAGCCGGGGGTGGACACCAGCTTGACGGACGCTTCACCGGAGGGTTGCAGCCTGGAGGCTTAGGGTCCAACCCATAGGTCATTTTATGGAAAATCGATGGAAACTTGTTTTAACTTATGGCTATACCCAGGAGAAAAAAAAAACCTGATCTCTAGGCCTCTTTGGGAGCCATGCTGATGGAAAATCGTGTTTTTCCACCGCTGAGGAACGCTTGGGTCAACTGACTTTCCTGGTCCAAACCTTTGGCGCTCACGCGGTGTCTCCACGCTTTGATCCCATTGTGCACTACCGGAACCTGGTGGGTGGCACCTTGGTTGCTGTTTTTTGGGGGGTTGGAAAATGTGTCATTGTTGTTTGTTGAAAGGGCCATGGAAGATCATGGAAGAACCTGGAGGCTGCTGAGTTTTTGTTGCAGTGTGGTTTCATTGAAATTTTCTTTGAGGTGTTGGTTTGGTTATGTTTGGTTCCCTTGATATGTTTGGTGAGTATCATTTCGATGGCGCAAAAATTGAACGGTTGAAATCTGAAGCCATCCATGGCTACCTCATGCTATCCAAAGCCTACTTGACTTACATGTCAATTTTTGTCCATGCTATGCAGCCTCAAAAGCACCATATTACTGACTTTGCTTGCCTTTGTCCAGAAGTCCCAGGCCCCAGGCATCTCGTTTCTGGCTTGCCAAGGACCAATCATGGACAACATGAAGGATTTCGAGGCAATGGTCACTATAGGGAAGAATTATGGGACTGAACCCCTAACACGTCCCTTTTTGCTTGAATAACCATGCAGCAATCCACCCCAGTGGTGAAGTCATCATAAGTGACCCCACTCAAATGAATTCGTCACCCAGGCATAGAATCCTCATGGCGCACTAGGGAGTCGAAACCATTGAAACATGTTTGAAAACAACTGGTTCACTGGTTACATAAATCAGCTCGGTCCACCTTTTCGTGTCTCGCAGACCATTGTGCGACACGTGGGCAGCCTGGGAGTGGATCACATCGTCTTCAGCTTTTGTGGCTGGGTTGTTGGGCTAAAAGGGCTGCTGTCCCATCTGGTTCCTGGTGCAGTTCCTGGTGCAGTTCCTGGTGCCATAGGGGTATACCATGGTATACATCAATCTATGGTGGTTACCAATAATCCAATTATACCCATAACATCCCATAACAATAACCCCATTTGCCCAAGCCTCCCAGGAACTGCAAGGGTGTAATCCTGCTTCCTCTTTAGTGTGTTATGCATTGTTATCCCACCAAAATTTCCCCAACAAAAGCGCTGCGGCGTAGTCATACTTACTTGCTACCTGGCTAAACCGATCGTTATTGCCTCATGCGGCTCATGCGTGCTGACTTGCTTTTCCATATATATAATATATATGGGAAAATGATATAATCAGGTTAGCCATGACAATTTGGGTTATCGCTATGTGTCCAAAGCTTTGGGACCTTATATACGACCAGCCCGTGCATGCTGAAGGTGTTTGTTATGAGTTGCCAGTACCCCCCCCCACGCCTACGTTTTCCTACCATTTGGGTCTATGAAACCACAGGCTGTTCAATCGCTAAGAAACTGGGTGCCACCTGTAAACGACAGTTCCAAACTACAATTCAGTCCAAGTCATTTTGCACAGCCGGGCGTGACCTTGAACATCTTGAATTTGAGTGAGTTTAGCCAGCCATGATCAACCATCATTATCATGTGTTTTTGTTGATTTCGAGGTTGCCCTTTTCCATCCTTTTCCGCTTGATTTCCAGCTCGCAGCTCGCCCAAGTCGCCGAGGCCAAGCGTATCCCAAGTCTGTACGCAACATGCGACTCTCAGGGATGGAGCCTCTCGGCCCCAAGTGTGACCAGCGGTGCTGGACGGCAGGAGTTCACATTTCTCTCGGGGGTTGCGACACTATTTTTGGGAACCTGCCTATATATATATAGATTGTTATAGAAACTCCTGAGGTTGTTAACTTCCCAGTGTACAAAAACCACTGATTCTGATTGACAACCAATCCAAGAGCTCTGGTGATTTTGTCATCTTTTGTCCAGAGGTTGGTGACATTGAACCGCGCGGAGCAATGTGCCGTGCTGGACAAGTTGATGCCCATCGCCCATCGCTATGGTGTGCAGATGCGCTGCTGTGGAGATAAGGGCATCGTGGGATATCCGATCACCAAAAGTGCCCTGATCGTTTCATTGCGACGTGTGGTGGTTTGGAACATGTTTTGTTTTCCATAACCCATAGGATCCATGGTGCTGCTTTATATGGTAACATGGATCCCATCAATATACCCCCAATGTTAGTATATATACCATACATGGATCCTATGGGTAATATATGGATATATATGGGATAATCCTTCCCAACTGACTCTCATATTTTTCAGAGGGGATCAAGCCACCAACCAGATCGCTTTTGACCGGTGAAGGGCGTTTTTTTGGGGGGATTTAATCTGATTATACTCTGGAAAGCATGGGGATGTTTCATGAACAGTGGGATTCAATGGGACTTGAATCCACTTAGTGTGTACAGTAGTTGGGATTGTTGACATGGTGATTTTTTTGCATTTTCCCACTTGGAAATCCACCAACACTGGGGAATCTACTGGAAATCTATTTGATGTTTTGGAGGCACCTTCAGCAAATGCAATAATATAGAGAGGTAAAATATAGTAGAAGAATCGAACAAAAAACATCATAAACTTGAAATTGGATGATGTTCCAGATAAGCCTCGGTTTTTTCCACATGCCATGGCCTCCAATGGTGTCATCCCTTTTTTCTTTCCAGCGCTGCAATCCAGGCGAGACAGAAGGCTTAGTGGCCGCTGCACAGCGCGAGGAACAGAAGATGCAGGGAGCCAACTTCCCGGTGATCGGACAATCCAGGCGCGTTTCGATAAGGCTTCCAATGTTTCCATCAATCCCATACCCATAGGATCCATGTATGGTGTATATATGCTAACATTTGGGGTATATTGATGGTAAATCTTACCATATATAGCATACATGGATCCTATGGGATAGTGGATTTACCTATTAAAAATCGTGGATCTTTCCATAGCTATGTAAACGTTTGCCAGAGGCTACTCCCTTACCACTGTCAGATTTTCTACTGTATACAGCCATGTGGCAGTGGGCCATGTAGTGAAGCCGGTTATGGTGAAGCTGGCTATGGATGGTGCCCTGGCCTCGGCCAGGTGTGTGGACGCCCGCTTGGCTGACCGCATAGCGCGAGAGAAGGGATTGAATGTGGCTGCGATGCATAAAGGAGGCTGTGGAGTGTGGGGGAACCGTGATTCAAAACCTCTTGGTTGGTCGATGTGATTGGTTGATTTTAGCAATGATTTAGTTGTTGAGTCTCAGCATCAAACAGATGGGGATACAAGATGGATTAGATATAGATGACGACTGTGACTCGATGATGATTAGTTCGTTGGTTATCCTACCCTTGACCCCGGGGTTTATCATAATCCATGAGCTTTTAACCAGTAACCAGCCATTTTTTCATGAAATTGCAGAGGGTTTTGAAGCTCTTCCCTATAGCCACCCGGAAATAGTGCTGGAAACCTTGAAACCGAGAAACAATTTGGTTAGGATCATCAGGAACCAGTTGTATCATTCTGTTTTCTACTTGATCTACTTGCTAGAAGGTTGGTTTATAACGCACACAGATGTCTAAAAGTTGGACACCTAGAAATTCGCAAACATCCTCGAACCAACATCCTGATTTCTTCCGCCTTTCTCCATCTGTTTTTTGAATACGCCAGTCATGTGTCGCATCGCCTGAGGTTTTCATGTCCTTGGCAAAGGACCTGCGTCAGCGCAAGGATTGCGAATGCACCAGGTCGACGGACATCGGACAATACACCCTGCAGTGCCCACATGGCTGTGCCCTGGGCCAAAAACCCAGAAAACCTCGGAGATCGTAGGTTTTTTTTTTTTTTTCGGGAGAAACATGGGGATTAAAGTTGAAATTAGGGATTTCACCGCGACAAACCGGATTTTACCAACAACAATGGGGATTCTATCTACCACTCAAAATTGAGATTTCACCATTCAAAGTGGTGCTTTAGCATGATTCAATGATTCACCATACTGCTTGGCTATTTGTGGCGTTGTCCCTACTTCGTTTTACCCTCCCCTGCCAATGGGATGATGATCTCAAGTGATTTTCATATGTTTGGGATGGTTGAAGGGAACGCAGATGGATACCTTGCAAAGATGTTTTTTTTTGTGTATTGAAAGTATGTTACTGATGGTTGAAAACACAGGTTCGGTAAAGGCATGTGGGATGCTTGGTCGTGTTCAACTGATTCACCATCCTTCCCCACATGTGGGATGCTTGGTGGTATTCGAAGTGAATGTACTCATGCGATTTGGAAGAAACACCATGGGTAAACGGTAAACACTTGGATAAACTCAGTATAAACCATCATCTCAATACTGATCTTTGGAACATGACTGCAGAACCCTGTATGGCAAAATGGAGGTATAGCGTATCAGTTTTCATTTCATCCTTCGACCTCTTTCCGAGGTGTTTATTGCTATGCCAATCCATTGAGAAGAAAGGGACAGAATGAACCCCCGCAGGTCACAAATCAGGCGCGAAACCTGTTGGATCCATGCTGCGGGGCAAATCTTTGATTCAAATCATGTGTGAAAGCCTGAGATATCCCAAGACTGGTTGGTGGTTTGGGACATGAATTTTATTTTTCCATATTATTGGGAATGTCATAATCCCAACTGATGAACTCATATTTTTCAGAGGGGTAGGTATACCACTAACCAGAAGATTGTGTACTGCAATAAGTAGTAAGGACCAGCGGACTAGCGCTAGAAAAAAGGGTCTTTTTGCTGACACGAGCTGACACATGTCCCCGCAAGCCTGCAGCTGCAGCCAGTTGCCAGTTCTTGTCACTCATTTGGTGGTTCAAAGGCAAGTGGCCAGTGGTTATTTGCGGTTTGTAATGGTAAGTTTCACACTACAGCACAGAACCCGATTCAATATCCCATGTATACATTTTGGGTCTATATGGGGGAACTTTATGTTGTGGAGAACAGGGTTTCTCAAGAGCACTCATTGGTGGCCCCATTTCTTAAGCTTCTTTTGAGGCGCCGGTGGTGTCTCATCAACAGCTGCCGCCACCGCCAATGATTCCGCATATGCCAGCACCGCAGTGCGCACCCACCGGCTACATGCCACCACATTACATGCCACTTGGCTGATAACTGGATTACAGGAAACCGTGGTTTTCGACAAATAGAGTTTGGATATCCCCGTAAATTTTCTGGGTCGCCCAATTCTTTGAACTGCTGTTTCGCTCGCTTGTATTTATGGGAGTGTGATATTTCATTGGTAGGCTAGTAGGCTCACCTGAAGTTTCAGTCACTGGTACTGCCATGTTGAGGTGATTGCATCTGGCATCCTGCAATCATCTCTTTATCTACTATTTATATGCATATTTTATATAAGTCTATAAGCCAACAGCAATTTACAGAGGTTTGTTGAGCTGAAAGTGACATATCCCAAGACACTTATAGTTTAATAACAAGTTCTTTAGTCCTTTCCTTCACCATTCTTCACCTCCACATTTCTCTCCAGGCCCTCTATGCCTGCAGTGGGGGTTCCCGGCATGCCAATGCCCATGCCGATGCCCCCACCGCCTGGGCACCCTGGTGCCCCTGCCATGGCTGGTGGGGTACCGCCCCCTCCACCGCTGCCACAGCCCGGAGCCAATGCCTCCGAAATGATGATGAATGTTCCATGGCGGCAAGGCTGATGTAATTATGTATATAATCTCAAAGTTTGTCAATAGGGTTGTCTATTGTAGCTGGGTTTGGCCCGATGGTTTCGCTCAAGATTCGGAATGCATATATGAAAAACACATATGAAAGAATTCTCTTAACTCTTAAGTCTTACGCAACTGCATGGGTTTTGTCGCATTTTTATCCAATTGATTCCACTCAAACAATCAACACACTACCCACTGCCCAGTTACTGCGTTTGTTACCTTCAGACAACTTGTGAAACCATTCAGGATCCACTTGATTTTCTGGACGATTTCAATACATTTGGATTTGACAAACTTCCCCTTGAAATGCGAGGCTTACAAGCTCAACTGGCCAGCGGGGTTGATGACCTATGCTTCTCACGATCCAGGAGATGAAATGGGACCTGCTTCTCGTTCTGTTGCTTACGTCCAAATGGAGTGCCGCATTATACAATGCTTGCGCGCCAAGAAAGTATAATTTGATGTGTTGAGTCAACTAAGAATTTGATACGTTGAGCCAACCGACAACGCTACAGTAGTCAACTAAAAATTGGATGTGTTGAGCTCTTTCGTGGGAGAGTGGGGGTGTTTATGAATCTGGATTAAAAACATAGGGAACCTATTGATTGATGAAGGTTTCAAGGCATTCTTTCCCGCAGGATTTCGAAATTCTCCCCCCACCCGCCAGGAGAGGTGCTCGCAAAAATGGCAGAGTGCCAAACGAGACCATGACATGCCATGGTTGGGATGGAAATCCATCCTTTTGCAAGTGCTTGGTCTGGCATTCAGACCCCCTGTTTTTTTCCCTCGAGGAATGTTCCTCGGATGTTTCAAGATGTTCCCAGGGCAGCCGATGCAAGGGAGATTCCACCTAGCGCCGATGACGGGCTTTAAAGCATCCAGTTTTGAAGGGTTAGTTTTTTGTTGTTCTTTGCATACCTTGGACTGACAAAGCTGCTCTCGATGGATGTAGCCCTACATGGAATTCCTGACTGCATCGCAGTGCCTAAAAGTCGCCAGTCTTGGGTTCTGGTTGAAAAGGGTCTCCAATATTGCCTGTTTGTATTCCAACAAATTCATTGATTACAAATTCCACAGGAAAAGTTGTTTTGATGGAGTTTTAGCTTGACGCATTTGCTTTTCAAAGTATTCTAAGACAATTCAATATACTGTCTCCAGTGCCAAGTTTCGATCCAGAGGACTGGCAAAACGCAGGATGAAACCCAGCCCTGCACCAGTGGAAGGGTGTTGCTATTTTGCGCCTCCGGGCGCGGTGACAAGCCGTGCGGTCCAGAGCTGTGGTCTTCGCTGCGGTGTGGCAACAGACCGTTTAGGGCTGAAGATAGGCCCACTTTCTATGCGCAGCATCATGCAGCTCAGCGCTGGTGTGAAAAAGAGTTTTTCATGACTGGGATGGCACTGACTTAAGTTCGAGGTATGGCTAGTGGATACATCCCATGCGTTCGCGGCAGACAATCGATACTTGACCGAATTTGACCGGAAAACAATACTAGGGCCCAGTTGACTCATATCTGTCAGCACTCGCATGCAGCATCCATTGAGGCACGCGGAGCCACGCAGTGGTCACTGCGCTGTCGTTTGGTATGCAATCTGGAGGGCACCGAGCTGCAACGGTGTAAATGGTGTCCTGATGTCATGGATGTATCCCAAGCATCGGTGGGATTGCCTAAGGGAACTCCAGGGAATTCCCATGGTCGTTCTTACTACGAGCGGCCAGAAAACATGCATTTGCCATTCTTCACATACCCCAATCGGCTTCAAGCATCGAGATGCTCCTCTACGCTCTCGGGCCATCCGTCATCTAGTTTACGTACATTAAGTTCGTATGTTTACTGGTTGATTTTATATTGATTTTATATTTATGACTTATGACAGTCCTGTTCGTTGTTAATGCATGAGTATGCTTACTTTCTTACGGCTCCCCAAAAGATAAGAAAACACCACCGTAACATGGAGATGTCATCACATGTCTTCAAGGACAGTTGCGGGTGTCAACATCCAAAGATGTCAAAATGAAACATCATAATTTAATATAATTTATTTTGAACGAAATTGGTGTTTCCAGGACTGTTTTGCTACAACCTGAAGGCCTCTTTTGCGTGAATTTGTTAAGGACAAAACGTTTAGCGACGGGCCACCAGGCATGGTTCGTTCAACGACTAAGGCTAAGAGGTGAGCCGCACAAGTTGAGATGATTCTCCGGAATGATCCGAAGGGGGTTCAAGGTGTGGTCAGTCAGTAAGTTGGTAAAAACTAGATCGCATTGTCGCATAGTCTTGTCATGTCTTGTCCATATGTATTATTGGAGGGGACAGAAACAATTGAACAGTAGCAACAAATGGCGAGTCTGAGAGTCAAAATCCGGCGCTTTGCGACTTGGTTTGATGAGAAGACATTGGCATTGAGTTTTTGTGTCCCAGATGTAGCAAAGTGAAAAGCAACCACTGAAAAAAAAAAACAACGAAGAAAAAAGCAATGTGCATGTCAGCATGTGGCTTCGTATGGTTGCATGTCAGCGGAGAGAGGTTGTGTTGCAAAAGTCTTTTGTTTTGTGTGTTGCCGAAATGATTGGAACTGGTCCCTTCAGTTGGATCATCACACAGGTTAGCTCGACGAACTACCAGGGGAATTGTGGTTGTTCAGATGAACTTATTTTTGCGGGTTAGTTTTGCAATTCACGCCATCACCTCCCAACTAACCTTTAGGGATTTTCGCAAAATATTCCGACTCCAATTGTGTCAATAATTTATTGGCATGTTTTTTTTCAGTATTCAATCCCAGAACTTCAAAGGTGTTTTTTTCACAACGAGTAGGTTCAAACCTAGCCGTTGTGAAAATTATTGTCAATTTTGTGGCAGCGCACCCCAAAAAAAAGCACAGTGATAACGATCTGTAAGATAGTGGGTTTTCAGCAGCATCAAGCAATGCATATGGCAACCATTTTTTTTATAGACCCATGTAAAGATGCGTGCGTCCTTCCATTTTTTGCAGATTGTAAGATACGTGGAAACGAATGTAGTTGTCCATATTTGCAAATATTTGTCAAATTTGATCAGTGTGATGGCTTTCAACACCAGGAACCCTCATGATCCGTTTGAGGTTATGTTTTAAACCAGACCCCGGATATCTTGCTTTGAGCGCAGAATTCATGGGGTTTTTGGCATGCCTTCGATGAGGGGATGTCAAAAGAGATTCGTGAATGAATTGTCAGGGTTCTGCTTATTTTATTTCTCAGGGTGGAACACGGTATGGAATAAATGTGTCAAAACACTGGAAGTGTGAAAAACCGACCAGAAGCCCGTGAACATATGCCGTGTTATATGCCTTGAAAAGGTCAGAAACCAATGCATTTTTTGGAGAGTTCTCCCCCGGGCATCTCTTTGTCAGTTGCAATGTTTTGGTGACCTTTGCTTTTCCCAAAACCTGTGCAGCTGTCGCTGAGATAAAGACACTCGGCGAAATCGCTTTCTTATTGGGAATGGCGATCCATCCTATATGCTGGCACGTCTTATGAAAGGAAATCAACTGTTTCAACGGTCCCAAAGTGCACATACACATTATTGGTTCTTTTGAGGGGTATCAGTATAGTATAGAACTGGGTCACAACTTGCATCAAATTGTAATTAGCATAATTAGCAACGTATACTGTGCATACGGTATATTAAAATAGGTTTTTACAGGATGCACTGGCTAAGCGGGAAGCTAGCGATAGAATCAAAAGAAATGGCTTAACATGGCAAATACATGCAGAAATCAAGAATGCTGCTCGTGGGAGGAAAGTCATTTCAGACATTTCATCACGTTTATGTAAGATTGGACAATGCTAGCCTTTGGGTCTACTAGCTATATCTAACCATAAAAACCACTGAGAACGGACCATCACCACCGGTGTGACCGCCATAGCGCGCCCTCAGAAGCTGAAGGTTGTGCCTGGGCCAAGTGATTTGCATCTTTGGGAAGTTGGACGCGGCTGGATTCTTTGTTTTGGGTGGGGTACCCTCTCGTATCTCTAACAGTGTACTGAGAATGGCTCGTTTAACTCGATGGTTTACCTTAGGCTAAGAACAGTGATTTTCCATGATTTTCCATGGTGATGTTAAACTGCCAGAGGGTATGCTTGTGTTTTGTAGTTCCATTATGTTGTAGTATCTTACGATGTCTGGATATTGTTTACCTTTTCTAAGTTTCCATATCCCAAATCAAATCATAGCAAAAATATCCCAAGGAAATCATGTTTTAAACACAAGTCTAGTATTATTCATACACAGAAACCGGTCGTTTGGACATTTACAGGACGTTTCTAGGCGTTCGGTAGTTTGAAAGCTATAGGTGCTCTTCCAATTCCAATGAGAACATGGTTTCGCCTTTTGGTGGATTTTGGCGGTTTGGTTCGGTCTCGCAACCCAGGCTTTGAGGATGTGGAAGCTAAAGGGCGTATGTTTGGAACATCTGCTTTGTGATATATCTACGCCCTGGGCAGGCAACCCCTCAAAATTTTACGCGTTTGTTTTGACACTTCGGGTTTGCCCGTGACAATGGCAAATACGCCCTCCGAATCTGACACACCGTGTGCTTCCAAGAGGGCCTTCTTTTCTCCCATGGACTTGATTTTGTTCTTTGACAGTCTCGCGTTGGTAATTTGTTGTGGCACACGTACGTTTGCTGTCAAGAAAATGCAAGCGCATGCAATTGCAACATGAAAAAGTTCGGGTCAGTGATTGCGGGCACTAGCAACCTGCTACCAACCCATGATTTGCCAGTTCCAAACCCACGATTTGCCCGTGATTCCCCTTTTTTCCAAATGATTTTGAAACGCTTTGGATTTTTTTAATCACATTCTCCGTTGTCAGTTGCGTTTGAGATGGTGTGCGGGCATCAAGGACGAGCAGTCTGCAGAGCAGCGCGACATTGATGAAACACCCACCCCATTTAACAAACAATACTGCCAGGTGGGCGGTAATGAATTCGAAGGAAATGTGGAAACCTTGCGTTTGGTTTGTAATCTCTGAGTTTTCTTTGAAAACACTTGGTTGTTTTTTTCTGAAAACGCTGCATATTTCTAATATGTCATGCACCCTGCAAAATGTTGTGGATTTGGGTGACTAGCGTATATGAGTTTTCAATGCGGTCAGTGAGGTGTGGTTCCACCATTTGTTTTGTGAAAATCGCTGGTAGGGGGCAATTCGTATAGTCTCCCAGAATTTGTATGTTTCACAACGGTTGGAGGGGTTATTTATCCCTTGCGCGATGCATATCGAGATGCGGGGCAGGAATGTTTCCATTGGCCAGCCATCAGTTGTGGCCGATCTCTCCAGTTCCACCTGCCTTTGAGGTAGCAGCACCACGTGCTGCAGGCTCACATGGGGATGGCAACCAGCCGGCAGTAGAGCACAGGCGTGTGAAATCTTATTTGCTCGCGCAGGTTTTTTCATCAACAGCACCTGAATTTGTGCGTGGAAGTTCCTGTTGAATTCTTGGATTGCCTCAACCTTTCTTCATTACAGGTGCTCAGAAACGAAAAACGCTAATTTCCAAAAACGTGCTACAAAAGCCCAAAAAGTGCTCACTTGGTTGTATCATTTTGCTGGGCACCCCGACATGCTGCAACAGCCGGATCCCCAAGGATTCTTGCAACCTACACTGACACAATCACTATGCTTGGGATCACGCTATACTTGGGCCCTTCCCTACCAACATCTCTCGCTGCTGCCACGAGTATAAGTAATCAAATTTACTTGGGTGGGCCGAACTAGACACTTAAGCTATTGAATCCATACGTAATTTGGGAGGCAAATGCCAGTAGAGCCCCTACACTTTTTGTTGAGTTGCGCCCCGAGCAAAGTTGCGCCCTCATTGCGCGAAATTGCGCCCCACAATGATTGCGTGGCACCAAGTTATCGAAACAGTCAA